TTAACCACCAGCGATAAAACAGAGGAGAAAAAGTAATTCAGAGTTTTAAAAGCTGCCTTTTATGGCATGCAGTATATATTTCGGTTTGAATACAGATTTCATAATCAAACTTCTTCTAATATGGCCAGTCAGAGGGCTCAGGAGTAAAGGTGCTAGCTACTAAGCCTGACAACTTGAGCTTGATCTCTGGTACCTACACAGCAAAGAAGAGAACTGACTCCTACTAATTGTCCTCTGGCTTCCACTCATGAGTCATGACAGGTGTACATGTGTGTGTGTATGAGCACACCACACATGAACGCATACACACACACACACACACACACACACACACAAAATAAGTAAACAAATAAATCCTTTAAATAAATAAGTAAAATGCAGAAAGCCTTTCTTTTAAATCCCAGAACTGTTCCCCATCAATTGTATTACCCTGGGCTCAATGATTAATTTCTCAGAATCTCAGTTGCCACAAGAATAAAAAGAGGGAGGTATTAAGGAATGTGTCTCCTAGGGCTGTGTTGAGGACCAGTCTGATAGAGCCACAGTGGCCGAGATACACTGAAGCCTTGGTGCCAATCAACAACGAGAAGATAATTTAATAAAAAGGTAGAGTTAACACAAACAGTAGAATTTTATAGGAAAATGGATGAAATTGGACATCATCATCTTAGCATAAGCCAGACTCAGAATAAACAACCACAACCATGTTCTATCTATCTATCTATCTATCTATCTATCTATCTATCTATGTATCCATGGCATAAAAATAAAAAGGAAGCTATTTAAAATGTATCTTTTAGTTTTAAAATCATGTGTATGTGTGTGTGTGTGTGTGTGTGTGTGTGTGTGTGTGTGAGAGAGAGAGAGAGAGAGAGAGAGAGAGAGAGAGAGAGAGAGAGAGAGAGAGAGAGAAGGTTTGCCCTCGTGAGTACAGGTGCTTATGCAGGCCAGAAGGCGGCATTGGAACACCCATGGCAGAGTTCTCAGGGTTTGTGAGCCACCCTGAGAGAAGTGCTGGGAACTGAACTTGGGTCCTTCACAAGAACATTTTTCTAACTCTGAACCACTGAGCCATGTCTTCAGCCCAAAGGGAGACTCTGTAGGAAGAGGTAGAGAGCCACTAGGAGGGAGACCAGGGACAAAAGAATGCAGTGTGTGTGTGTGTGTGTGTGTGTGTGTGTGTGTGTGTGTACATAAACAAAGTATATGATATATTCAGAAAAATGATATTATGAAACTCATCACTTTGCATAACAAAATTATGCTAGGAAATATAAAGCCCTTAATGCACTATCTTGAGTTAGCTACCACTGTAACATGATTCTTAAGATTTCTCTGTTCCCCACCAAACATGAAGAATGAACAAGAGCAGGCATGGTGGACATGTCAGCACTCTGAAGATAGAGGAAGGAAGGTCTTGATCCTAAGACCATCTTAGAGGTACAGTGAGTTCAAAGCAGGTATGGACTACATGAGACTCAGATTCAAAAAAGGAAAAACAGAAAGAAAATCAGAAAGAAGAACTCAAGGATGGTCTGGGATTATCACTATGGAATTTGATGTCTGTAGAAGACAAGATGTCATTTCAGTTCTGGGGATGAATCCAGTGTCTCAGCCATACTAGATAAGGGCTTTTCCACTGAGTACACTGCTCACTCCTATCTTTTATTATTACATGCTAAGGGATACGTTCTCCATGATTTTGGCCTACTTATTTGGGTAGAGTAAATCTCAGTCAGTCCTGGGCTTAAGGGGCTGGCATAGGACACATACCAGTTGACAACACACAGCCATATGCTCATAAAGGGGTATATGACTCAAATCAGACCAACAGGACCCAGCATGGACTGTGGTGGCATGATCATGTTCCAAGTCTGTCTCTCTGTATCTGTCTTACTCCCTGCCTCACTCCCTTCTCCCTCCTTCTCCCCTCCTCCTCCAAGAAGGCAAGCCTGGAACTGCTTCCCAAGTAGGGAGGTGAAGCAGCACACAGCCATGGGATGAAGAAAAAGGAACACAAGTCCTTTGAATCAGTGACTCATGTGGACGTTCAGTGATTGGTGTTGATGTTCAGCTAAGCCACTCTGTCACTTTCATTCAAGTGACATTCAGGCTTAGGCTTCTTCCCAGGGCTCTATTTTCTACATGCCAAGTCCAAGATCTCTTGGTTCATAACAGCTCTTGCAGCCTACAAAAGGATTATGGATGGGGTGACTGGCATTTTGTTCCACACCCTTGGAGGATACTGGCCATGTCTCAGGCACTTCCCCTAGTAACTCTAATAAATCCACAAGCTCTATGGCTGGAACTGAACAGGTGTATCAAAGTTGCTAAGAAATCAGGTGAGGAGAAGAGGCCAACTTGAACTGGAGATTGCTTCTCCTTCCACAAGAAGGGATTGCTGGCATGACCTGCTGGTCCTTCTGGATGTTGGTGTGCTTAGGTGTCAAGTAAGTGAAACCAATCCCCAAGATCCTTTTTCAGTTCTACCATTCCCGAAGCTTCTATTACTCCTGGACTCCCCTTCATTATGTATGGTGTGGGATAATTGATTACAATTCTCATATTTGTCTGCTTTCTTCTATTTCAGCTTTAAAAATATTCTATTAGACTCTCAATTTCTGTATTCCAAGTACTTACTTCCTCTCCAATTTCCTTCTAAGAAAAACATATTTATTTTTGTGTAGTTGGACATAATGATCCCATTTTCTTCTCATTTCTATATTTTTAAATCTAATTAAGGTGATAAGTTCCCTGAGAGTTGAAGCTGGGGTTTTTCTGTGGGTATAAACATTATTTTTTTTTAATTGCCAACTAAGCTGCCAGTTTTGACAGGGAAGCCGGATATGGGTTTTAAGTGATACAAGCAGGAAATGGGTCTTCAACCCACACAAAATAAATATGAAACTACTGATTTCCCCCACATTCATATCTGACTTATTCATTTATAATCTTAGTCTGAGTTGATGTTTTCCCACAGAAATTCATGTGACCTCCATGGTGACAGAACCAAAATTGAGTCATCAGTGGACCTACCAAGTGTCACCCAGGTAAATAATATGGCAAACTAAGAAACAGAACATCAGGTGACCCTCCTGGTGTCACTTATGTAAATAACATGGTCATTTCTGGTCAGCAGTCTTCTCTTCCCAGCAGGGGTGAAAGGTCAGTCCTAAGATAACTAAACAGCAGCTCACAGCTCCTCATTTCATGCTCTCTAGTAACTCACTAGCTCAGGAGTTTGGATAGATCAAGTGGCTGGATAATGAGTGGCTGCGTGGTCTGTTTCCTGAAGAAAGAGCTGCCCAGAGGGAATGGTACACACCCTCCACACTGGCTGTCTAGCCCACACTTATTCCTGGGGACTCTGTGGATGAATAGGCCTTTAGTTAAAAGGGCCATAATGGGTACCTCTTGGTAAACAAATCATGTGGAGGCAGAGGTCATAGGTTTGGCTGGCATGCAGTTCAAGGCCACTGTCAAGAGCTTGCTTTTTGTCACCTGCTTTTCGATTAGAAGACCTAATTTTTCCTACAAGTTACTTCTCATTGTGCTTACATGCTTTCTTATTCACATGCATTGGAAATGACAGCACATCTGTCCCAATGTTCTAATAATGAGTTTTGAATTATCATCTCTCTTGGGACAGGCCTAGGTACATGCAATGAACTGAGAACTACAGCTGAGCTGGACAGCTAGTTGGCACAAGATTAACTGTGTTAATCCTGATCCCAGAGAGTAGAACACCAAGCAATGAGGAAAGAGGAAGGTATAGGAACAGTGTTAAGAAGTGTGTGTGTGTGTGTGTGTGTGTGTGTGTGACTCCTGAGAAACAGCCATTGCAGATCCTGGCATCGGTAGCCGAAGAAGCCAGGCACCCTTGGAACAGTGCTGCTGGTCCAGGGACTCTCTTTCCTTAGCCCAGGCTTCTCCTTAGGGCTATATTTCCTGGATCAAATCTCCAACAAAAATCTTTGGTTCACAGCACAGCTCTTCTGTTGCACAGTAAAATCGCAGATAGGTACCTGGCTTCTTGTCCCATGTTTTTGGAGGACAAAGGCTTCTCCAGGGTCCCTGGCTAGCACCTTGCCTAATGACTCATCTACAGCGAGCCTTCAACATACCTGAAGGTGATGATAAGAATGAAAAAGTAGCAATGCCATCTATGTCTCACCAGGGACCCATTCCTGAGACATCTTAGGCCTGCTGCCCAGGTCATTTACCTGGGACACATCTCATGTTTTTTTTTTTTTTTTTTTTTTTTTTCAGCCTACTATCCAAGCCATTAACCTGGGATACATCCTTATCAGCCACTCACCATCATATTCTTTTCTGTGCAAAAGTATCAAGAAGAAAATATAATGAAATATTTGTATCTATGACATCTATTTACACTAATGCATAGACAGTCAACTCCCTATTATCAGATGTTTATAGCCCAATAAGCAATTTTTAATTTATTTAATTATTTTTTGTTATTCTTGTTGGGAAGGAATGGCTTAGAAGAGAAAAGCTAATCCAACTTGAGAAAATGTCAGTATCCCCAATGCCCAAATGTTCCTTCTAAAACAAATGTATACCATATCTCCCATCTACAAATAGGCAAATCACACTTCACTAGCATTCTGACTTTTCATCTCATTGGTCCCCATGCCACAGAGGCCCTTATTCCCACTGTCAAGATGAGGGTATAGAGGAGTGCATGGCTGCACTGCCTGTCAGTTCTGGAGCACCACTGAGTCAGGCACCCTTCTAGAATCTGTAGCTACAACACCTATGACCTGGTTTTCACCAACTATCATTCAAGCTTGTCGGGAAATCTTCATGGTTATCTTATTTTCATATCATCTCTGTTTACACCTATTCATGACAGCACCGTGTTAGTGCTATATCTGAAGATCACATGTTAACATTCTTCATGATTTGATTTTAGAAGCTGAGCAAATATACTTATAGATAAGGTAAACAGAGAAAAACCTCATGCTTGAGATTCCACTTACACTCTTTGGACATTCCCACTTCAAAGCACTTCTGCAGGCGGCAGTACTGGCATCGATTCCTGGTGACTTTGTTAATAACACAGTTCTTATCTCGGTGGCAAGTATAGATCATGTTCTTCTGAATACTTCGGCGGAAAAAGCCCTGCAAGCAAGAAGATGAGCAGATAAACAGTTAGCTTCAGGAGAGACCACAACCCAGTTCGGGATGCACCATGGGTTCTGGCTACTGATAAAGGGACAGCTGCAGAAAATTCAAATCCCAGGTCTGGAGAAATGGCTTAGGGGCCAAGAGGATTTTTTTTTTTTTTTTTTTTTTTTTTTTGCTCTTGCAGAGGACAGAGGACTTATGCCTAGCATTCATGTCTAGCAGCTCACGATTGCCTGTAGTTCTAAAAGGACTCTGACACCTTCTTCTTACCTCTTTTCTTTGGTAAGCCCCAAAGACCCTTTTAGTGAACTCTAGAGATGACTGCTAGTGTCTTACTAAAACAAATACCAAGCTGATGTGCTTGGAAGACATCAGACAGAGCTAGAACCCACACAGGGTTAGTTAACTTAACTGGCTCTTTGGCCGGCCAACTTCAGGGGAACCCACTACTAAGGAAGCCGGAGCCCAAGGCCTAACATTTGCCAAAGACATTGTACACATCATACAAGAGTTAGGGCCTTCTGAGAAGTCTTCTACTGGATTGGTTTTGCATTTAGTCCCATATTATAGCCATTAAGATAATGGTTTAATCTACAAAGTCAATGTTTAATAACCCAAACTAAAAACAAGACAGAAAATTGGGTTTTTAACATCACATAAGAATAGCTCTGTCCAGCCCAGCAGACCCCCCTTTCTCTGGAGATGTTATAGAAAGATGATAATCTTTTAAAAGTCCGGTTTAAGCACAGCAAACTTCTGCCCTAAGGAAAAACAATCCTTAGGAATATTGTTGTATTGCCTTGTTGCCTTGTGGTGGGCATTAATGAACACTGCATCTGATTTGGCAATCATTTCTTTTTGGCTTTCAGCATGTGCATTTATGTGTCGCCATTTATCATCTATCAACTTCCTCACCTACCACCTATCTACATTTCCCTCATTTAATCCTTTGAACCAGATTTGCCATCCACTCTCCTCATTAATAAATAAAATTTGTATTTGATTTTGTTTACATGTGTTTGCCGAGTGATTTATCATTTTTTTTTAACTTCTGGACAATACTTTGGTAAGAGCCGCAATATATCCTGAATTGTGCAAAACACTCATGAAATGAAGCAGACTTTGGGTTCAGAAGCAGGGGCCTCCTGTCTTCTCTGTCCCCCAGTTACTACCAGACAGCTCTGTGGACATGGTTAATGGAGTGCTGCTTGTTCTAATCAATGTGAGGAAGTAGCAGGCGATAAATACTTCTCTGCCATCTTTGCTCTCTCCTAATTGCTTGATAGAGAACTACTGCTCTGAGTTTTAAAAGTGTGGAGCTCAACCCTACCAGTTGCTGTGGGATTTACAACCACTCTACAGCCATTTTCCTGAAAGTAGAAAATATGTTGAGCAGAGCACAAGTCTTCCCGTGTGAGCACAACTTTGCCTGCAGTCAATTACCACTGCAGGAGCCCGACTAACAGCCTCCAATGTTCAACTCATGAGCCAAGAGCACTCATGAAATGTACTTTGTTTAGGATTTTCACACGTCTGCCCTAGGAGTCTAGCATCTAAATAAACATATTGTTGCTGGCATGGTTTAACTATAAATGCCTAGAAATCTGGTTTAAGATTGGCATGCTGTCAGTAGCCCAGACACATACATTTTCCAAGTAAACATAGTTTATTTTTCTACCTCTAGTGTTACAAGAATGCTCAGAATATTAAAAACCAGGCTACAAGTATCCTTGAACCTGAGAAGTGTGGCTGCTGGGGCAGAACACCCTCTTCAGAACACTACATGACACCACTGGTTCCCAGAGGTATCAACTCAACATAAAAAATCTTTCATTGCTCCCTGACCAGGAAGAATCTGGTGGAAGGAGATAGTCTTTGTGTGTGAGAGGAACAAAAGAGGCAGGGAGATCCAGGTGCCCTTTTCATTTATTTAAAACCAAATATTCAGTTCAGCAAATTTTTAGTGACTGCGGCACACTGGAGAACAACACTGTGATATTCAAGGGAAATGAGAGAACTACAGAACTTTATACATCACTAATTACCCATCAGTGTGGCTCACAAACACAGAAACTAAATAGGACTTCTTGGTTTTCCAGATCAGGCTTTGGCTGGGTGTCAGCGGGTCTCAGTTTCAGGAAATCATCCCCAGCATGGCAAGACCCCTTGCTGACTATGACACATGCTGAGAGGTATTTTGATCTGTGTGTTGAGTAAACAGAGACTGTCTGTGATTCACATGGAGTTTTGTGTCACCCACATCTTCATCTTCCCTCACTGCCAGCCTCAGGTGTGGCATAAACCTCACCCCTGCTAGAGACCTCAGCTTCTAGGACTGTATGTGAATGAGGAGGACAGAGGCCCCGGCAACTGATGCTTTAATGTTTCCATATAAGTTGACTTCCCATTTACTTGAACATTATTTAAGATGGAATTGTTTTTATCTCTGGCCTGATTGGGAAGCCAGCACCATACACGTAGAATATCCAGTGAGCCAATATTCAAATGTAATCTCATGCCCCATGGATAGTAAGTCTACAGAAGGTGTGGCGCCCTGTGCCATCCTAATCCTTGATGAGATGGGATCTGAGTGAACACCAGGAGCACATCAGCATTTATTGAAGGTTTTTTTTTTTTTTTTTCTCTTTGAGGAATTCTGAGGAAACACATGTTTCTTATGTGTTTCAATGTGATTTAAAACCATGTATATATCTAACTCAAAATGAAAGATCTCATATGATTGGACTTGGATTTGAAATATGGTCTTTAGAAGTCCACATATAATAGGTCTTGAAGCAAGTAACTGGTAGACAACTATAGAGAAAAGACCAAAAGGCTGAACATGAGAAGGCGGAGGACCTGGTAGTATCTGGAGAAAGAAAGTAGAGGTTAGACACAGTAGAGAGAACGTCCTGCTTTCGGAGCCAAGACCCTGCCAGTAGCCTCCTCACTGTCCCTGTGACCTAAGCAAATCACAGCCTTGGACTGGAGGATGTACTGACATGGTCTTTTCCAGCTGCCTCATCCTGGGTTACAAATACGGCACTGTACCAGTGTAAAGACCAAGGGTGGCCAAGGAAGAGGCAGTGTCAGAAGACTAGGGAAAGAGAGATGACTTCCACTGGAATGAGCAAGAGTGGTGGTTTTCTATACCAGCTAGAAGCTTAAAGGATACCAAGGACCCAGTGGCATTTGTTAACCACAGTGGAGAGTGCTTAAAACCTGCTAGGTGATTTCCATCTCACCCGTGGGCTATGGAAGACCATTGTTCTGACTCACTTCTATTATCTGCAGTGAGGAAACTACTTAAAACAAAAGATAATCAAATATCCTCCTGTACTCACATACCTAAAATTCCAAATCCCCTTAGTGGACCAACCAGCTTGAACTTGCTTATCCACAAATCATGTGAAAATACATAGCAGCCTCCCTTCTTCATATTTTGCCATTTGAAGTTGGGCCACCTTCTCTCCTCTGACACTTGTAAATCATGGCCTCATCTTTCCTCTCCGTCTTCAGATGTTGTCATGGTTAACAGTGCTCACTGTCTCCCACAGAAGCTGATGTTTTAAACTTGAGATACTTGTCTACAGTTGTGAATTAGGCTTTAGTTCAGTGTGTACGGATCTGAATTCTGAGTCTACCACTCTGTTACCCTTGCTAAGGCCTCAGTTAAGTCTGAACTGGCTACAGCCTCATCTGCAAACAAGACTTGGAAGTTCCAACCCACTTGGGTGAAATATTTTATCAACCACAGCGCATCTAAGAGCTTGGTGAATGATCATTCTTGTTATCAGAAAACCATGTTTCCTTATGGGAGAACACACACACACACACACACACACACACAGTAATTAAACAGTAATTAAAATACGGATCCTCGAATTGGACAGAGCAGTGCTGCCAGTCTTTGCATTCTTAGGGGTGAGGCTCTCATAGCTACAGGAGCTGCTTCTGTGTTCATTCTCCAGGTCCCTGATTCAGTAACTTTGTGTCAATCAGCTGTCCTGGATGATGAGGCTTTGTGTGTCACGGTTCTTTCGCAGTCTGTATTATGGGTTGAATATATAATGTTCCCTATGGATTTGTATATTTGAACACTTGGTCCCCATCTGGTGGTGCTGTTTGGAAAGGCTCTGGAACCTCTATTGAGTGGAGCCTTGGTGGAAGAAGTATGTCACTGGAGCAGGGTTTGGGCTTTCACAGCCAGGCCCCACCTGATCTTTGGATGCTTTTTTAGCATAGATGCAGTATGAGCAGCCTCCTGTCTCTATTGCTGTGACTTCCTTGACTTGGCCATGGCTTCCCCACCATAACGGACTATATCCCTCTGGAACTATAAGCCACAACAAACCATTTCTTTCTTGTTGTCTGTGTACTTTGTTGCAGCAACAGACAAAGAAAAAGATACTCTATAAGAAATTATGACAAGTGAGGTCTGTTAAAGATGCTATAGAGCAGTGTGATGAGACTCTTACATGGGACCACACCTAAGAGACTGAGAAGAGTATGGTAAGAACTTTAGCAGGAGCAGGTCATGAGAAAGATTGGCCTGGTATTTAGCCTGGTATTATGACATGATAGGCTATAATAAAATTCTGATTGAGTAAATGAAAGTAATGGAATCCAAATGATTTGGAGGGATTACCACTTGATCTGGGCTCTAGAGTAGGGGTAGGATATGAGTAGCAGGTGTTCTCCCAGAGGACTCTCTGGGTCAGCAGGCATGGGGCAGGAGCACAATGTGAATGGTGGAAGGCATAAGAGACAACAGGAAGGTGGTAGGTGTTTACACTTGAGCAGGTCTCAAAGGAATGCCAAGCTTGGACTAGGGAGACACTGTACTCTTCTATGCACAGAGGCCAGGATCAGAATTATGGCTGGCTAAAACTGCTGAGGGAATTGGGAGCTGGTGACTTCACCATACAGTTACTTTTTTTTTTTCATTACATAGCTATTGGGATCTGGGCACCAGTACACATGTATAATACCTG